AAGTATTACTTTTTTTAGATACCAGAAAAATAGAGTTGATAATAATTTCTCTGAAACGAAACGTTACATGGAAAACCCCTCAGCGGTGTCTTCTAGAGCTCAAAAAGTGTCAATAAGAAAGTGTTTGTATCTGTCAAATACCTAACATCAGAAAAAAAATAAAAACGAAATAGCAAATTTAAGTTTTCCTGGCATATCTTCGGAAGTAATCGGAATTTTATGTTTTTTTAAAACATAATAATAACTCATAATTGCGCAACTTTCCCTAATTTGAGCATGGTAATATCTTCTTTGTTTCATGGGGAGGGGAAGGGGGGGCTGGAAGTACAGACGACACCAAAAACCGTGTGACGCAGTTCAGTTGAAACTGGACTGCGGTACTATGGGTACCTGGTTAGAATCCGGGTTCGGGTATACATATTTGCAAATGTATAGTGGATTGGGTTGGTAGAGCAACCTTGACTGAAACCCCGCCCATTCAAAAATAAAGGCAAAAATAAAAATGCAGACTCAAAAAAAGTGAACTTTAAAAAACATTATGAGTAACAGCAAAATAATATACACTGTAATAGGCTACTTAATAGAAAAATATTAAGAATACCACAAATAAACTTCTACATCATTCAGTTCTCATATTATTCTCTAATACTGAAAAATGTCTCGTTGTTAATTTGGTTGGATAATGTTGCATTAGTGTTTAAGATCCACACCGCGGTGTATATAATTTTGTTGTACAATTCGCTGCGGTGCCCTTTTCTTTGCGGCCTAGTCGGCCTAGTGGTAAATCCGGCACTGCAGTAGTACTACAACTACGAGCAATTGGAAGAAATACTTCGGAGTATACCTAGATATCACATACAGCTTATTATTGGCGATTTTATCGCAAAAATTGGGAGAGAGGATATGTGTATTGTACACATTACCGGAGAAATTAGATTATACTCATGCGCCTTCAACACAAAGATATTAACATGGGTATTCGGACATCTCCAAGTGGCCAAAGAGCTAATTAGATATAGATCACTACTTACAGAGGAAAAGCACGAAAGGTGTGTAACTGGGCTGTAAGTGGGGGTTTTAAGAGTGAGAAAGTGAGACGTAATGCAATACCAGCATAATATGATTGATTAATGATTTATGAACCATTGAAATAAATAAAATAGAGACTCAAAAACAGAATTGTAATAAAAAAAGGAATACTCATTTTTATAATTGTTTTAATTCCCACTTTGAGAACCACTGCTTTAGTCATTTCTTTTTATATTCTCCGAACGATCTTTGATGCTTTCTCATGTACTACGTTGTTTAAGACATGACATTTATACAAGGTGTAGAAACCGGTTTACGTACCATAGGGATTTAATGCTAATTACTTTATATCGAAATATTTTTTTTCCTAATTAATTTATGAGAATGATGAAAATAAGTTTCTTGTAGTTGGAGAAATTTTGTCCTCATGTAATTTAATTAATTTAATTAATTAATTAATTAATTAATTAATTAATTAATTAAATTAATTTCAATTCAAATCAGTGTGCTAGCACAACCCCTCATCAAATCGCAAATGTCTGAAGAGCCTTTTACGCCAGTTTAGCATATTGTTTAACCGCAAATAGCAACTTATTTGAACATTTATTATAAGTCTCTCATTTTTTCAATAAATTGTTTTGTGATTATTATAATTTTTAACCTATAATAGTTTTGTAAAGGTGTCAGCATTAATGTATGCCCCCAAAATAATAAATATAATTTTCTAGTATGCCGCACGGACGAATTTTTGTTTCAATAGCTTCACGGCACGAGTGATTTTTACTAAAATTGATTTATAATTTCCTTAATTTCTCCGATTTCCCACAACAAAAAAATACAAGTTAACACATAAATAGACGCAGAATTATACAATCTGCAAAACCTTTATTTACAACTTTGTATTATTAGTATTAATTAGTGGAGAAAATATTTCAATATATAAAGAAATTACCATTGAACCACCTATGGTGCGTAATCCAATCATACACCCTGTTTAGGGTCCAACATGTGCAAAATTGTTTTGTTGGGAAAATAACCAAACAAGGTGATAAAAACCCTTGCTCGATCCTGGTATATCATCCATATATCTTTTTGGCGCTCGAAGTTTTACTCAAAAGATATGCGGCTATAACAAAATTTCTATTGCAAGTTACGAAAATACACGTGAGGGTGTAGTAACAGTCCATTTTCTACATTGGATTCTCTGACCAAAATAAGTAGTCAAGTAAATATAGCTTCCAATTGTGACACCTCTGTCACTCGGAAAGGGTAACACACGGAGGGTTAATAAAAATCGAATTTGATAATTAGTGACAAATAAAGCATTACGTGCAGTAATTGAAAGTTAACACGAACAACCGGCTATTCTATACAGTATACGACAATTTTTTGCACTGAAAACAGAGAATACAAGATCCATGGCAAGATGGGGATCTTTGATTAAAGACACTTAATTGAATAATTTAAAAAACCCACAATTTCTTCTTGTAATTGGATCAGTCATGAACTATTTTTATTGCTCTAAAGAATTGCAATCGGACAGCCAAGGTTTTATCGTTAGAGACTATTTCACAACTTTTAAATAATTATTCTCCCAAGTCCCAGGTGCGTGATTGATCGTTTTGTTTTGCGATTTTGCGTGAATGGGTGTACGTTTGCGTGCTGCTCTGAATGACTTCTTTATTCATTATTGTAGATTCGTTACTTAGATACTAATTTGTCATTTGCTAATTACTACCTTCCAAAGAAGGTCTTTGTAGTTAATTTTAATTTCTTGTATGTCATGCAGCTTTATTAGATTAGGTTGATAAGACGCGGATTACAATTTTTTAATTAATTTTCTCCCCAATGTCTCATTTTAAATGCACTATTTAGGAGCAATATGTACTAAATATGTAAATATGTGTTTCCTTGTTTTATAATTACGAAATTATAGCCAATATTGGGCAGTACCATAGTGTAAAGCAGTGTTTCCCAACATCTTTTTACTGGTGGCCTACTTGTGATTGTTATTTATCTCTGTGGCTCCCCTTCGCGTTAGATCCGGGGGTATGGAATCCCCCGCAAAAATTTTGGAATGTTAGTAGCTTTATACGTGTTTTTAGACTCATTGACGTCTTTCTCAGACTGCACAAAAATGCATAGAAGGTAGGCCATTAAATGTGGTATTTCAATATTTTAATACTTTAGATTACTTAGATCAAAATTAATTTCAGTTATTTTTTAGTTATCAAGAAATCATTGTCAAGCTCATTTAAAGCATCATTTTTGGCCACACTAGGTAACAGTAGCAGCAGTAAAATTTTCTGTAATTCACAGAACCACAGTCGAGGCTCTTTTGTGTCACTTTCAACTGTAGCTAATCTTTAAAACTGCCCTATTTCAGTTCAAAAGAACAATTAATTAATTTTTTTTTTTTTTTTTATGGATTTAGGCATCGACAACCAAGGTCATTAGCTACCGCCTCTTATTATTTGGTGTTCAAAGTAGATCCTTTAATCCCGATCGCTTAAAAAACTCTAGGACGTTAAGTATTTCCTTTGTCATCATATCCCTCATATTCTCTCCCACAAGAAAGTTCTGCCTTTGTTGAACGAACAATGGGCACTCAGTAAGAATATGGTTCAATGTTAGTCTTGTGTTGCAGTTTTCACATTGCGGTCGTCTTTGTCCCGTTAGGAGATAGGACTGAGTGATGTTCGTGTGTCCTATTCTTAATCGGCAGATGGTTACCTGGTCTCTCCTAGAGGTGACTGGAATGAATTAATAAATAATAAAATTATAATAAAGTTAATTATATTCAAGACGGTTTAATTTTAATTAATCCAAATAGAGTGCAATGTAACATCGCAACGTCTAGATTAATTATGTCTGTCCCCGAATCACCCCAGCGCTAACATGTATATTATGATTATAAAGGCTACTTGTAAATATTACATCTCTAATTCAAGTAGTTAATGTTAAGTAGAAAGAATTTACCTTGTAGTGCAGTATTTCGATAGTGAGTTACATTTTTAGTAACGGTACGATTTATACGACTAAATTGCACTTTTCTTTACTAAGTAAGTTGTCTGCCTAAGTTGCACATTTCTACTCGTACATATTCCTCTGTCAACGGATATCTTTGATTACCCACCCGAACGCTTTCTTTACAAGTTAAAACTTTGATCCCATATTAAGCGATTGGCCGCGCCTGAACGTAAGTTTTTATTTTTGTTAGTGTTTTTGTTGCACAATCAAATTATGTGTATTCAGTTCTGAACTACATATATGCCTTAAAAGAATTTATAGCTTCGAAACCGTCAACGTCGATATTGTTGATATGATGATATTCTTACGTGCCGGTACCAGTAGCTAAGTGTACTGATCTTTGGTATAACATACGGTTTGCGATGCCTATATATAAAACATCAACATACTCGTACTTGCTTCAAGTCTCACCTTCTCTTGTTACAAAAAAGAAAATTCAAAAATTGTTTAATTTTTGAAAATCGTGCCAAGTATAGAAGGTGCCTGAATATGAAATCATTAGTATTTTACTACTTTTACTTTCTGTTACAATTGCTATTAATTATTGTTAATAGGTACGTGTTTCAACAATTTCGCTTAGAGGAACGGGCGATCAAAAATGAGTTGCTGTCCAGTCGCCTTTTGAAGTTCAATTTAAAGTACGATTTCCCATGCAAACAAATATTCCAAAGAAGACTCGACAGAATTGATTTTGATCGCATAGTACTCGCAGTGTAGGTAGGTCCTTCACACAAATGCTAATGAACACCACCGCATATAAAACAAAAGCTTGAGTGAGGTACCAATGTACAGTAAACAATTTCTTCTCTACATGGTGTTACAAACAAAAAATACTAACGAGATCAAACCGTCCCAAAGTATTGTTTTAATGAAATTTTTAATACTAGGCAAGCATGTAGTATTGAACTATACCACCTACACAGTTTCCTTTGACTTTTCAGGACACAGTATGGCCCCAGCATACCGGCACACCTCAGGGAGAAGTTTTGTTCTGTCGATCTTCTGCTTACAAGCTATTTGTATTCATATTACAAGCGGTAAGTACAAATTACTAAGTTCCATAACGAAATCGGAAATTGTATACCTAAACGTTTACATTGTTTATAAATGGAAATAAATGTTTATCTGAGAAATAGGTGCCGATTACTAACTTTGCTGAACATCCGCACCGTAGAAAGTTGCGATTTTAAAGGGCGTAGCCCTCAGGCATGTTCTGTTACTGATGAAGTATTTTGGAGATATAATTTCATTTCATTTACCGATTAAGCGTAGAACTAGATTCATTCCAGCTGTTGTTTCTGGAGCGCCGTAGATTTTTCCGAACGTTCCTTGGGGAAATGTAATACACAGCATGATGCAGATGAAAACATTGAAATGAAATATTACTGTGTTATATTGATATTCTTTTAAAACAAAAAACATATACTTTTGACGCACCATCAGAACTGCATCTTATTTCGGATTTCAAATTTGTTTAAAAGCACTTATCATTGTAATTCAAATTGAAATACTGTACAAGGATATCGTTTTTGTGAAAATAATGTAGGTCACACCTTTTTTCTAACATTTCCAAGCTTAAAAGCATTCACATCTCACGCGGGCCCGCATTCTTTAATCGTTGTTTGAGGAGCGCGCACAAACCTACAAAAATCTATTTGCATGTTGTTTGCTCAAAAGAAACATTAAAAGTCGAGGGGAGATATATTGAGGTATGCGTATACTCACCTTCAAAGGAAAACCCTATCAATAACGGGGATTTGGCGTGAGAGTATACGGAAATTCTTTTTCTTTATGTTCAGTTTCCGCGCGCGTTCAACGATAGATGTAAAAATGTGTTTTAAGAATGTTTTTTTTATGTTCAATAATAAATTGATTCTTTGTTACGCGTGCTTTGAGAACAAATAAAGTCTTTGAATTAGATTTAGAGGAAGTACGATTGGATTCACTTTGAACTTCAAATTGATTATCGAATTCTGATGAGCGATGGCCATGTAGTAAGGGAAGCGTTGCTTAATTTATTCTTTTCCCTCCTTTATCTACTAGGTAGGTATTTTTGTAATCCAAAAGGAACTTCTGAAAGCTTTCTTGATAAGTGGAGCAACTTTCAGATCAGAGAACCATTTCTGATAAACGTAATATTTATGAGAAACTCTTCTTAGAAACCAAACAGAACATAGAAAAAAATGTTTTGATACGCTCACGGAATAATACAAACACAATATATTAAGTTTCTTAGAACTCGAATCTGCCTTACAAACGTAAAAAAAGATACCAGCCCAGGACCTGATGGCATATAGTACATATTACTACAGAATCTGTCGAATAAAGGAAAACAAGACTTATTGGAAATATACAATTTCATCTGGACACAATATAACTTCCCAAGCAGGTGGAAAACACAACTCAGAAAATTACAGGCCAATTTCGCTCACATGCTGCATGAGTAAACTCTTTGGAAAAATGATTAATATCGTCTAATATGGTACCTATTTGGAAACAAATAACATAATCACTACACGCCAAAGTGGTTTTAGGAAAAATCACTCTGTTTTAGTTAATTGAAATAGGCAAAATATATCACTTACCTGTCGTCATTCAATTGCTATTTTTTTTCTTTTTTTTCTTTTCTGGTACAAGGAGAATATGGCGAGGGAAAGGAAGAAAACAGGATGGAGAAGATTTAATTAATTGACAGATAAGCGAATGCCCAACACTACCAACGACGCCAAAAGACCAAAAAACACCTCACACGCAATAGCACTTTACCAACAACAACTATTGAATTGAAAAATGTTATCAGTAATGTATCACAATTTCCCAAACTAAAAATTAAATCAACGTATGCATGCTCCATCTACACAAAAATGAAAATAATACTATTTGAAACTGAAATTTAATCATCGGCTTCAACACACTCAACGATAGATCCTATTGTTAAGTTGGACACAGAGGTGCGAACCGGTTTCCTAAATTAGCAGCACACTGTAGTAGTAGGTAGTCTTCGACCTCGAGAAAGCATAGGACCTGGTTTGGAGAAGAAGGGTAATGGAAATTTATTTATTTATTTATTTAATCAATTTGAGTTGCAAACAGGACAAACCTAAAATAGCAACTACATCGTATTGAAAAAAATATAAATCAATGGTAAATGTGACATTCCACAAGCATAATCAAAATAAAAGCTTAAACAAGGTTAACAGAGTAAATTAAAATATAAATAAAATATTAAAATAAAAATAATTTTAACCTTTTCACTGCTGCGCACGTATATATACGTTCTGAAAATGCGGAATCTGTGTGCGACGTACGTATATATACGTTGTACCTGTTTAAAATTCTGTGCTAGCTCCGTATATTAACGTGCTGCAATCATTTGCACACCATCGGAAAGCCCATTTCGTGAGCTTTCCAACGAGTACCAACACGACTCAATTTAGTTTTGTCCAGTACGCTAAAAACGGTTTCAGGTAACACGTGTGCGCATTTATTTTGTTGTAGTAGTTATTTATTCAGACTTTTGATAAATTGTTTTATCCATAAGTCAATCAGTAGATGGCGGATGAATACGTTGGATTGACGAAGTAGGACGCTGCGGTTTATTTTTTATTTTTTTTTATTTTTTTTTTATATAAAAAAATTAAATAAAAAATAAAAAAATCAAAACAAAAATAAATAAACAAATTTTGATGCCCCTCCGATAAAATACATTGAGCTTTACTTCCTGACCTTGCTGTGCACGTATATGCACGTGCTGGGTGCTGCAAATCAATCTGCTGATGACGTATATATACGCGCGACGATTTCTCTCAGTGCGACGTACGTAAATATACGTTTTGTACAATTTTAATTCAGCACAGGCTGTTTACACTCGAATTTTTAATTTAGCAGCGAAAAGGTTAAACACATAAGTGATAAATTAGTATGCAGGACACAAGTGATGTGCTACTTAAATTCAACAAAGAGTAGAGGCAAACAAAATGTAATTACGTACAGTGTGAAATAAAATTAAAATTAAGATACAGTAAAATAAATGATGTATGGCATGATAGTAAATGCGACGCGACGTGTAGAAAAGGAAAAAGGATAAATAGCAAACAAGTTTAAAAAGTCGTTATGCAAACATAAATGACGAGAGCGTTTTTCCTCCTAATAATATTAATGCTAGGACCAGGAAAAAATACCGGTAGGCACGATATCCTTACCCCATTCTCTTTCAAAAGAGCCGCCTATCGTCGAAGTCTATACAGTATGCACGGAATCCTTGGACCAAGCCTTTCCAAATGAGCCCTATATCGCCCAAATTGGTTCAGTGGTGTAGAAGGCGTACGGGTGACGGACGAACGGACGGACGACAAAGTGCAGCCAATAGCGATTTTTCACTTTGAGGAAAATACACTAAAAATATGCCCCCTGCACCATGTTGAAGTACGTCACTGACCACAATTTTAAAGCACGTACATTGGTAGCAAACTGTTTGTAATTTTGGATACCATAAAAAATGTCTTTAAAAAATCTTGTTTTGAAGATATATCGAGTGTTCCAGACAAAATGTTAGCCCTGTATGTAGGTATATTTTCATACGATTAAAGCAAAAGAAAACCATTGAAAAATTCACTTCGTTTCGGTTCATTTTTATACTTGATTCGGGCGCTACATGTGCCTTTTACAATATTTATTAGATAAAAACAACTGCATTTGACATACTTAGGTAAAAAATTATAACTTGACAGGCAGCAATTTACTTTGAAGTTATTAAAACCATCCACCGAATATCCATCCACAGAAAAGCATTTTCAACACATCTTTAGGTAAAGACATTGCGCTAATTTTAAATACTTCACAGTTACAAACTATGATTTCAGCCAATTTCGCGAGTTCGATTGGTAGGGGATAGTAGGTAAATTACGGCGCGTGTGGCGCAGTTCAGTTAAAGCTGGACTGTGGTGCTAAGGGTCCCTCGTTCGAATCCGAGTTCGGGCATGGATATTTGTAAATGTATAGTAGGTTGGGTTGGTATAGCAGCCTTGGCTCAAACCCCGCCCACTCAAATATAAAGGCAAATAAAATAATAAATAAAAATGCCAATGCAAGTATTGTAGAAATCAATCTGAAGACATAAGTATAAGCGACAATGTAAACGAATTGAAAGAAATTTGTGTTTGTAAAAATAAACGGAGACAAACATTCTTCGTTGTTGTTCGTAGTAAATTGATTCTTTTAATGCATAATTTCAAAAATAAGGCGGACTAAGGTGGCTTTCCTGAATAATAATATACTTACAACAAAAACATCGTCCTATGTTCTCAACTCCTCACCTTCAAAGGTGAATATCTCGATGACCACTGAAAAATGTCGATATTCAAATATATTCATTGTTCCTTATAATTTCGTTTGGTGTAGGTCTGTATTTCCCATTAAATCAAAAATTACTCAATGATTTTGTCTATTCCGAAAAAAAGAGTTAGATTGCTATCCGCTGCAATAATTTTGAAAATTAAGTAGGTACCTATCCTCTTAAAGAATAATGCTTCAGTTGAAAATATTAAAAAAAGGAGTGTATGTAGATCAATAAAGGAAGAAATAAGAATTTTTGGGAAGTGCGGTCATACTCTGATGATAATGCTTTTCAGGATCCTTGAAAGATTTATCAACTTCTTTTGTACGTGTTAAATCGCTAATGTCTAAGAAAGAACCGTCGCATACTTCAGGCTCGCACGTTGAGGGGTGGTTTCAATATATGCGAAACTGAAGTGAAAGCTATAATATGCGTTTCAGCTATGCTTTTCTAGAATGTCGAAAACATATAAATGAATTTGTCGGTATGCAATTTGATTGTTAATCAAACTAAGGACGAACATTTCGGTTAAAAATGCTACCTACATTAAAGTATTCAAAGAGACGTACGAAATTATGATTTTAACCGAATATAAACTAAGTTTAGTTTGGCGCGGTTTGTATGACTCCTTTGTGGGAAATCCAAGGCAGAAAGCGAATAAATTGCCGTTCAGAAAGCAGGATTTGAAATTTAAGTTGCTCA